AGTCCTCAGAGCTCGGGATGCTTGTCTGTCCTTAAGGCAAAAAGCTCACGCCTGCCTTTTAGATGGATTAGGAATCAGATGGTATTCCCTGTAATAGGCAGTAAGAGCACCTAGAACAGTGGTTCTCAACCTGGGGTCCCCAGATGTTTTTGGCCTACAACTCCCAGAAATCCCAGCTAGTTTACCAGCTGTTAGGATTTCTGGGTGTTGTAGGCCAAAAACATCTGGGGACCCCAGGTTGAGAACCACTGACCTAGAACTTTGGAGAGGTTCTGTTCAACCGTTTCAAAGCTCCTTGCTTGAGCAGTGATGGCACAATCATCAGCGTAGATCAGTGTTTCTCAACCTTCCTAATGCTGTGACTCCTTAATACAGTTCCTCATGTTGTGGTGACCCCCAACCATAAAATTATTTTTGTTGCTATGTTATAACTGAATCGTAATGCAAATTATATGATATGCAGGATGTATTTTCATTCACTGGACCCAATTTGGCACAAATACCCGATATGCCCAAATTTGAATATTGGTGGAGTTTGGAGGATTGATTTTGTCATTTGGGAGTTGTAGTTGCTGGGATTTATAGTTTACCAATAATCTATGAGCATTCTGAACTCCATCAACGACGGAATTGAACCAAACTTGACACACAGAACTCCCACGACCAACAGAAAATACTGGAAGGGTTTTTGGTGGGAATTGACCGTGAGTTTGGAAGTTGTAGTTCACCTACATCCAGAGAGCACTGTGAACGCAAACAATGATAGATCTGGACCAGCTTGGCACGAATATTCAGTATGCCCAAATGTGAATACTGGTGGAGCTTGAGGAAAATAGACCTTGACATTTGGGAGTTGTAGTTGCTGGGATTTATAGTTTGCTTACACTCAAAGAGCATTTTGAAACCCACCAATAGAATTGGGCCAAACTTCCTGCACAGAACCCCCATGATCAACAGAAAACACTGGAGGGATTCGGGATGAATTGACCGTGATTTAGGGGAGATATAGTTCATCTACATCCGGAGAGCACTGTGAACCCAAACAACTATTCCAAAGGGTTTCCTAAGACCATCAGAAATATGTGTTTTCTGATGGTCTTCGGCGACCCCTCTGAAACTCCCTCACGACCCCCTAGGGGTCCCGACCCCCAGGTTGAGAAACACTGGTGTAAGTGGAACTCTCTGTCCCTTCTGGCAGTAGCTGGTCATTTGTATAGGTGGTCTTACTTTCTATTACAGGGAAACCCGCTGATTCCTAATCCATCCAAAACACAGGCAAGTGCTTTTCATCTTAAGAATAGGCAAGCATCTTGAGCTCTGGGGATGACCTGGGAAGGAATCCTACTGGAGCATTGCAGCGCACCCAAATACCTGGGAGTCACTCAGGACTGTGCTCCGACTTACAAGAAGCACTGCCTGTCTATCATGCAAAAAGTGGGTGCCAGAAACAATATCATACAAAAGCTGACTGGCACAACCTGGGGATCACAACCAGATACAGTGAAGACATCTGCCCTTGCGCTATGCTACTCTGCTGTTGAGTATGCATGCCCAGTGTGGAACACATCTCACCACGCTAAAACAATGGATGTGGCTCTTAATGAGACATGCCGCATTAGCACAGGATGTCTGCGTCCTACACCACTGGAGAAATTACACTGTTTAGCCGGTATTGTACCACCTGACATCCGCCGGGAAGTAGCAGCATGTAATGAAAGGACCAAGGCAGTGACATCTCCAGCCCATCCTCTGTTTGGATATCAGCTAGCGCAGCAACGCCTTAAATCAAGAAATAGTTTTCTAAGATCTACAGAGATACCCGCAAGAACACCTCAGTAAGCGAGAGTCTAAAAGTGGCAGGCTAAAACCTGGAATCTCAATCCGTGGCTGATACCAAATGAGAGACTCCCTCCTGGGCATACTGGGAGACTTGGAAGGTGCTGCACAGGCTGCGCTCTGGCACCACGTGATGCAGAGCCAACCTTAAGAAATGGGGCCACGAAGTGGAGTCCACGACATGCGAGTGTGGAGAAGAGCAAACCACAGACCACCTACTGCAATGCAGTATGAGACCTTCTACATGCACAATGGAGGACCTCCTTATAGCAACACCAAAGGCACTCCCAAGTTTTTTAAACTTTGTGTTTTTTAAATACAACTGTACCCCCAGTTCGCTCCTGATACGAGAAATTCCAAAAATGATATTTTCTTATTTTCTTGCAAGTCGTATAGGAAACTGGGAATCCACAAGATTTCAGACACAAAAAAAGGCTGGTTAGTTATCCTTTATCCTTTTTTGTATTGCGTTTACAAGCTAATTTCTGACGTGAAACCAACTATAAAGCTTGCAGGAAAATCTTCCAAATGAAACTGTTTTGATTTCCTGCAAATCTTTTCGGAGACTAAGGAATTCCCAAGATTCCCGACACTCAAAAAAAAAAAAAAAAGCCGCATTTGAAAACCAGAAGGCAGCGAAAAAGGAAAGCCCTCCTATACGATGCTTGGCATTATGGGCATTAAAGAGGTTTTAAAAATAGAATTAATCTTCCCCGCAAAAGCAGATGGGGACGGCTTAGGTGACTTCCGTTCTCTGCAAGGGGAAAAAAAGAACTCGTGGCTTCCTCAAAGAGATACCAATGATGACGGAAATGATATTTTCCCCGAAGTTTGCTCATATACTCTAATAATACATTCTAATACTAATAATAGATGCATAAGCGCTTTGGATCTCCTGGTGGAGAGAGGAAGTGGGGGATAAACAAACATAATAATAATAATAATAATAATAATAATAATAATAATTTGTAATGCTGCTTTGAGTCTCCTCGTAGAGATAAAAAGTGTGGTATAAACAAACAAACAAAATAATAATAATAATAATAATAATAATAATAATAATAATAATAATACGGACAAGATAAACAGAACAAATTGGGACGATCATGACTATCTGGATACCTTGGGAAAATACATTTTATTCTATTACTTTTTTTTCTTTAGTAAGGAAAATATTTTTGAGTAATAAGAAAATAATATCCAAGAAGATGGAATGGAAGTCATTTTCCTTTTTTCCTTTTTTTTGTTTGGTCTTTGGTTTTACTTTTTCTTTTTGTGTGTGTGTATTTTTGTAGATTGTATTTATTTATATATATATATATATATATATATATATATATATATATATATATATTTTCTCTATCTTCTTTACTTTTCTATACTATTATTGTTCTGACTCTTTTGTTGTATTATATAAAATTTAATAAAAAATTCGATAATAATAATAATACGAATAATAATACGAATAATAGATACATAACTGCTTTGAGTCTCCTGGTGGAGAGAAAAAGTGGGGTATAAATGCAGTAGTAATAATAATGATAATAATGATAATAATAATAATACATTCTGTTGGAGCATGCAAGCAATCAGAAAGTGTATGTATGTCAATTGTAAAATAAGATGCATGAAGCTGATTGTTCGGGCTATGCCCGGGTAACAGACTGAGCCTGGGACTTTTGGATACTGTTACATTTTTGTTCAGGCTTGAGGTATGCAAGTGTTCAGAGAGAGATGAGTGAAGCAGAGAGAGACAGAGTTTGTACTCTTGCTTCATGAGCTGCTGAAGGAGTTTATCCACATGGACAAAGATAGAGATTTTAAAAACTCTCATAAAAGGACATTATGTGAGTTAATGCAATGTAATGCATTGTACATAAGTTGTTCTGGATTTACGAAGAGTAAACTATTTGTTCTTTCTTGTTCACCTGCATGCATATTTTCTTTTTCCGGCAAGGCAGTGTGTGGGCTGATCAAACGTGAACTACACATAGTTTATTTTACATTACGCCACACATTCTAATACTAATAACAGATACATAGCCACTTTGTGTTTCCTTGTCAAGAGATAAAGCAGGGTATAAATATCATTGTATTTATTTATAGCCCACTTTATCTCCTGCAGGAAACTCAAAGCAGCTTAAATAAATGTATTGATAATTTTATTTATTTATTATTTATTTCGGTTTCTTCTACCCCGTCCTTCTCACCCCAAAGGGGACTCAGGGTGGCTTACAAAAGCACAATTCGATGCCAACATCACATAACAGTAGTAAAACAAAAAACATCAATTAAACAGTTGAAACAGTTAAACAACAATTCCTGTATTACAGCCCTAAAACCAATAAAACCAATAAAACGATACAAACCTAATTACTCCTCATAGATGGTCAGCGTTCGCCATCTCATAGTCCAATTTCCAATTCCACTTTGTCAGTCCTGTCAGTCCTAGTCATCTGGTTGTCCTTATCTAGTTGTCAGATTGCCCAAAAGCCTGATCCCACAACCACGTCTTTACTTTCCTCCTGAAGGAGAGGAGGGATGTTGATGCCCTAATTTCTCCCGGGAGTGAGTTCCACAGGTGAGGGGCCACCACCGAGAAGGCTCTGCTCCTCGTCCCCACCAACCTCACTTGTGATAGCGGTGGGGTCGAGAGCAGGGCCTCCCCAGATGATCTCAGACTCCAGGGTGGGACGTAGAGGGAGATACGTTCAGACAGATACACTGGACCGGAACCGTACAGGGTTTTGTAGGTCAAAACCAGCACCTTGAATTGTGCTTGGAACTGAACCGGCAGCCAGTGGAGCTGACACAGCGGGGGGGGTGGTATGCTCCCTGTATGACGCTCCGGTGAGCAATCTGGCTGCTGCTCGCTGGACCAGTTGAAGTTTCCGAACAGTCTTCAAGGGCAACCCCACGTAGAGTGCGTTGCAGTAGTGTATTTGGGATGTCTTTATGGATAGATAAAGCGGAGCGTTGTTGTTAATGATGATGATGATTATCATGATCATGATGATAATAATACAGCTGCCAGGATCCATACATAGGCTTGAGCCATTGGGGTCAAACTGCGCCAAATCTCCCAAATTTAGCAAAGCCTTTGCAAAGATTTGTGGGTCACTTTCTAACTTTCTTCTTCTCTCTCTCTCTCTCTGCCCTTATAGCTGCCGGAGCGGCAACCGGAAGAGCCTGGTGGTGGGAACCCCTTCGCCCACTCTCTCCCGACCCCTCTCCCCACTTTCAGTGCCAACAGGTGAGTTTGGGGGCAAAAAAAGGAGCTCACCCATTTCCCCAAAGACAGCTTGTTCCCCTACCATGTCATTCATTCCATAAGAGAAGAATTTTTTTTGATCTTGACTTCCCTAATAATCTGACCCTTGCAGCAAAGGCAGCTTGTTCCCCTACCACGTCATTCATTCCATAAGAGCAGACTTTTGGAACGTAACTTCCATAATAATCTGACTCTTGCCTCAAAGCCAGCTTGTTCCCCTACCACGTCATTCATTCAGTGTGAGTGTGGAGTCATGGCAGCATATCTTAGTTAATTTTTTATTAACAATCAGTCATCCCACCCCCCCTCCCCGATGGATATTTTTTGTCATATTAATGGGATCACCTCTTCCTCTCCTCCCTCAACCCATTTCCTTTCCGCAGCTTGCAACAGCCCAGGGGATAGTCCACGCACTTTCCCTGCCGGAGCCTCCGCCAGCTTCCCGTTTGCCCGCAGGTGAGGGACCACAAAGGTGTTTTTTTGGGGTGGATGGGGCACCTTGGGGATATGACTTGGGAGTTCAGCTTGGGAAGATTTGCTTTCCCACCAAAGCAGAAGAGAATGAGGCTCTCATTTTCTTTGATCTCGACGCCAGATCCCCTCTCGATTCAGCCGAGAATTGCATCGGCTTAATTGAGCTACCGCATCCTGCTGTTAGCTCACGTTCAGCTTGCGGTCTGCTACTGATGTATAAAATCCAGATGATCTGCTTTGAACTGGATTATATGGCAATGTAGACTCGTATAACGCTGGATCATGTGCTTTTATAGTCTGGATTACATAGTAGTGTAGATCCAGCCTCGGACTCTGAGATCCCTTTCACATGTTGGAGGATCTTTTCTGAGACTCTAACCCATTCCCCGCAGTAGAGCTACTTTTGAAAACTCAAAGCTGATTCATAGCAATCCTGTTCACTCTGTACTGACCAAAACTGACCGCAAACTAACTTATCTGGGTGTGCCCAATTTGGGGGTCTGGTGGGTGGATTCTTTTCAGGAGGCTTCTTTTGTTGCTGCCTTTTCATATTCTCTTTTCTTCTCTGTCTTCTCCCCTGTGGCGACTGTTCTGCTCCAGCCATGCTCCTCGGACTGACAGGTAACAACCCGAGGGATATGTTGGGGGAACCTTTGATTCTCCTTTGTGGTATAAATAAACATCATTATCATCATATGGGGCATGTCATGAATACTTTTTGAACCTTTAAAATGTCATTTAATCCGTTTTCAGTAGGACAGAGTGCACCAGGCACTTTCAGAGGACACACAGACACCAGTACTGGTTTTTCTAATAGCTCTATTGGTTACACAGACAAATGGGGGAAATGTCACATATACGCTAACATTCACTTGTAATCCATTCATTCGCTCATTCATACTCACCATCCTTCTTCATTCAGCTCATCATAACATATATCTTAACATTCACTCGTAATCCATTTATTTATACTCGCCATCTATCTTCATTCAGTGCATCATCACATATATTCTAACATTCACTCATAATCTATGCCATGCATCATCACATACATTCTAACATTCATTCGTAATCCATTAATTCGTTCATTCATTCATTTATACTCACCATCTATCTTCATTCAGTGCATCATCACATATATTCTAACATTCACTCATAATCCATTCCATGAATTATCACATATATTCTAACATTCACATGGAGGCTGTTGCTGTTGCCCGCTTTTGGTCAAAAGACATTTAGCCGCGTGCACACCTTCTATTTTATCAGTTTTATACTAATTTATGCAATGCTTTTGATAAGCAATAAATAAATAAATTACCATTTTCCTTCATTCAGCTCATCATCACATATACTCTAATATTCACTTATAGTCCAGTCATTCACTTCTTCATGTCATCCTTCTTCATTCAGTTCATCATCACATTTACTCTAACATTCACTGGTAATCCATTCATTCATTCATTCATTCATTTATACTCGCCATCTATCTTCATTCAGTACATCATCACATATATTCTAACATTCACTCGTAATCCATTCATTCATTCATACTCACCATTGTTCGTCATTCAGTTCATCATCACATATACTAACATTCACTTTTGATCTATTTATTCACTCATTCATACTCACCATTTTCCTTCACTCAGCTCATCATCACATATACTCTAACATTCACTTATAGTCCAGTCATTCACTTCTTCATATCATCCTTCTTCATTCAGCTCATCATCACATATACTCTAACATTCACTCTTAATCTATTCATTCACTCATTCATACTCACCATTTTCCTTCATTCAGCTCATCATCATATATACTCTAACATCCACTCGTAATCTATTCATTCACTCATTCATACTCACCATTTTCCTTGGTCATTCAGCTCATCATCACATTTACTCTAACATTCACTCGTAATCCATTCATTCACCCATTCATACTCACCATCCTTCGTCATTCAGTTCATCATCATATATACTCTTAACATTCACTCTTAATCATTCACTCATTCATACTCACCATCATTCGTCATTCAGTTCATCATCACATATACTCTAACATTCACTCTTAATCTATTCATTCACTCATTCATACTCACCATTTTCCTTCATCATTCAGTTCATCATCACATTTACTCTAACATTCACTCGTAATCCATTCATTCACTCATTCATACTCACCATCCTTCGTCATTCAGTTCATCATCACATATACTCTAACATCCACTCGTAATCTATTCATTCACTCATTCATACTCACCTTTTTCCTTCATCATTCAGTTCATCATCACATTTACTCTAACATTCACTCGTAATCCATTCATTCACTCATTCATACTCACCATCCTTCGTCATTCAGTTCATCATCACATATACTCTTAACATTCACTCTAATCTATTCATTCACTCATTCATACTCACCATTTTCCTTCGTCATTCAGCTCATCATCACATTTACTCTTAACATTCACTCGTAATCCATTCATTCACTCATTCATACTCACCATCCTTCGTCATTCAGTTCATCATCATATATACTCTTAACGTTCACTCTTAATCATTCACTCATTCATACTCACCATCATTCGTCATTCAGCTCATCATCACATATACTCTAACATTCACTCTTAATCTATTCATTCACTCATTCATACTCACCATTTTCCTTCATCATTCAGTTCATCATCACATTTACTCTAACATTCACTCGTAATCCATTCATTCACTCATTCATACTCACCATCCTTCGTCATTCAGTTCATCATCACATATACTCTAACATTCACTCTTAATCTATTCATTCACTCATTCATACTCACCATTTTCCTTCGTCATTCAGCTCATCATCACATTTACTCTTAACATTCACTCGTAATCCATTCATTCACTCATTCATACTCACCATCCTTCGTCATTCAGTTCATCATCATATATACTCTTAACGTTCACTCTTAATCATTCACTCATTCATACTCACCATCATTCGTCATTCAGCTCATCATCACATATACTCTAACATTCACTCTTAATCTATTCATTCACTCATTCATACTCACCATTTTCCTTCATCATTCAGTTCATCATCACATTTACTCTAACATTCACTCGTAATCCATTCATTCACTCATTCATACTCACCATCCTTCGTCATTCAGCTCATCATCACATATACTCTAACATTCACTCTTAATCTATTCATTCACTCATTCATACTCACCATTTTCCTTCATCATTCAGTTCATCATCACATTTACTCTAACATTCACTCGTAATCCATTCATTCACTCATTCATACTCACCATCCTTCGTCATTCAGTTCATCATCACATATACTCTAACATCCACTCGTAATCTATTCATTCACTCATTCATACTCACCTTTTTCCTTCATCATTCAGTTCATCATCACATTTACTCTAACATTCACTCGTAATCCATTCATTCACTCATTCATACTCACCATCCTTCGTCATTCAGTTCATCATCACATATACTCTTAACATTCACTCTAATCTATTCATTCACTCATTCATACTCACCATTTTCCTTCGTCATTCAGCTCATCATCACATTTACTCTTAACATTCACTCGTAATCCATTCATTCACTCATTCATACTCACCATCCTTCGTCATTCAGTTCATCATCATATATACTCTTAACGTTCACTCTTAATCATTCACTCATTCATACTCACCATCATTCGTCATTCAGCTCATCATCACATATACTCTAACATTCACTCTTAATCTATTCATTCACACATTCATACTCACCATTTTCCTTCATCATTCAGTTCATCATCACATTTACTCTAACATTCACTCGTAATCCATTCATTCACTCATTCATACTCACCATCCTTCGTCATTCAGTTCATCATCACATATACTCTAACATTCACTCTTAATCTATTCATTCACTCATTCATACTCACCATTTTCCTTCGTCATTCAGCTCATCATCACATTTACTCTAACATTCACTCGTAATCCATTCATTCACTCATTCATACTCACCATCCTTCGTCATTCAGTTCATCATCATATATACTCTTAACGTTCACTCTTAATCATTCACTCATTCATACTCACCATCATTCGTCATTCAGCTCATCATCACATATACTCTAACATTCACTCTTAATCTATTCATTCACTCATTCATACTCACCATTTTCCTTCATCATTCAGTTCATCATCACATTTACTCTAACATTCACTCGTAATCCATTCATTCACTCATTCATACTCACCATCCTTCGTCATTCAGCTCATCATCACATATACTCTAACATTCACTCTTAATCTATTCATTCACTCATTCATACTCACCATTTTCCTTCATCATTCAGTTCATCATCACATTTACTCTAACATTCACTCGTAATCCATTCATTCACTCATTCATACTCACCATCCTTCGTCATTCAGTTCATCATCACATATACTCTAACATCCACTCGTAATCTATTCATTCACTCATTCATACTCACCTTTTTCCTTCATCATTCAGTTCATCATCACATTTACTCTAACATTCACTCGTAATCCATTCATTCACTCATTCATACTCACCATCCTTCGTCATTCAGTTCATCATCATATATACTCTTAACGTTCACTCTTAATCATTCACTCATTCATACTCACCATTTTCCTTCATCATTCAGTTCATCATCACATTTACTCTAACATTCACTCGTAATCCATTCATTCACTCATTCATACTCACCATCCTTCGTCATTCAGTTCATCATCATATATACTCTTAACGTTCACTCTTAATCATTCACTCATTCATACTCACCATCCTTCGTCATTCAGCTCATCATCACATTTACTCTAACATTCACTCGTAATCCATTCATTCACTCATTCATACTCACCATCCTTCGTCATTCAGTTCATCATCACATATACTCTAACATTCACTCTTAATCTATTCATTCACTCATTCATACTCACCATTTTCCTTCATCATTCAGTTCATCATCACATTTACTCTAACATTCACTCGTAATCCATTCATTCACTCATTCATACTCACCATCCTTCGTCATTCAGTTCATCATCACATATACTCTAACATCCACTCGTAATCTATTCATTCACTCATTCATACTCACCTTTTTCCTTCATCATTCAGTTCATCATCACATTTACTCTAACATTCACTCGTAATCCATTCATTCACTCATTCATACTCACCATCCTTCGTCATTCAGTTCATCATCACATATACTCTTAACATTCACTCTAATCTATTCATTCACTCATTCATACTCACCATTTTCCTTCGTCATTCAGCTCATCATCACATTTACTCTTAACATTCACTCGTAATCCATTCATTCACTCATTCATACTCACCATCCTTCGTCATTCAGTTCATCATCATATATACTCTTAACGTTCACTCTTAATCATTCACTCATTCATACTCACCATCCTTCGTCATTCAGCTCATCATCACATTTACTCTAACATTCACTCGTAATCCATTCATTCACTCATTCATACTCACCATCCTTCGTCATTCAGTTCATCATCATATATACTCTTAACGTTCACTCTTAATCATTCACTCATTCATACTCAACATCCTTCATCATTC